TTTCTCAGGTAGACCCTCCCGTCCCTGCGCCTGTTGAGGTCACTGGTGACTCAGGTCCTACTGGTGGTGGTGCTGTCCCTGGGGGTGCGGAGCTTGGGGGTGCGCAGCGTGGGGGTGCTGAGTCTGGGGGCGCTGGGAGTGAGGGGCCTGAGGATACGGAGCCTGGAGGTGCTGAGCCTGAGCGTGAGGAGCCTGAAGGTCCTGCGTCTGGGGGTGCTGAGTCTGGGGGTGCTGAGCCTGCGTGTGCGGAGCATGGGGGTGCTGAGTCTGGGGGTGAGTCGCCTGAGGGTCCTGGGACTGCTGTTACGCGGTCTCCTTGGAGTAGCCGTCTTCGTCCGCGTGTGCCTCTCACCTCCCAGCAGCTGCACGACTGGTACGGTCGCCGTCAGCGTCGCGTTTCTGCACCTCAGGGCTCTACTGCTGGGGGTTCTTTTGCTGGCGTCACTGGAGCTGGGAGTGGTGCTGGTTTTTTGCCTGCTGGAGGTGCTGGTGTCACTGGTCCCGGAGGTGCTCGTACTGGGAGTACTGGAGCTGTTGGGGCTGGCATGTCCGAGGGTGCTGCTGATGGTGGCACTGCGGTTGGAGACCCTGGGACTGGAGGTGCCGGTTCTGGGGGTGCTGCACCAGGTGGGGCTGGTGCTGAGGGTTCTGGAGCTGCTGAGGGTACTGGTGCTGAGGGTTCTGGATCTGCTGAGGGTACTGGAGCTGCTGGAGGAGCTGGAGCTACTGAGGGTACAGGAGCTGCTGGAGGTGCTGGAGCGGCTGAGGGTGCTGGAGCTGTCAACATATATTTTATATGTGTTGTTTAGGTTAGTCTAGGTGTTACGTTTCTACTTACTTGCATGATTAGGGTTTGCTATATCTAGGGTTGTACTTCACATTTTCTATCAATTCATTCTTATCGTAACAGGAGCTGCTGGAGGTGCTGGCGCTGCTGAGGGTGCTGTAGCTGCTGGTGCTGGTGGGACTGCACAGCCGCGCCTGTTCTTTGCTCCGCCGTCTCCGTCGTCTCTGCCACCGCCGGGCTCCGTGCTTCGCCAGGTTCTTAGCCTCCCGTCGTCTATTGGTCTTCTGTTACAGCCTGGCTCACCTTTGCCTGCTCCTTCTCCTTACGCTGAGCACACAGGGGGCCTTGCTGAGCGTCGTGAGCCTGCGTCGCGTCCTGTCTCACCTGTCCGTTCCGGTCGTTCCAGTCGTCGTGTTCCTCGTCAGCGTCAGCCGGCTGTCCCCGGCCCTTCCCTTGTCGTCCGTCGTCCTTCCTCTCTGCCGCCACGTGTTCACCTGCCGTCTCCGCCTGCGTCCTCTCTACCTGTCGTTGCTGACCCTGAGTCTGACTGGTTTCGTGCTGAGCACCCTACTGTCACACGTCTGCTAGCCACTGTTGTCGCCGACCCGTCGTTTGAGTCTGCTGCTGCGTCTTCCTTAGTCCCTGAGCTTGTCGACTTTGCTGCTCACTGTCGTCTAGACTACGCCGCTAGTCTTGTTGCTGAGTCTGAGTCTGTCTGTCCTCCGTCCATCGGGGGTGAGTGTGCTCTTGGCACAGACGTCCTTGAGGACAGGCAGGAGGACCTTGAGTGTCTTGCAGCCGCTGCGCCTCATCTCGTGTCCATGCTGCTTGCCCCTGAGGGAGACCCGGATGCTCCAGACATCCCGACCCCGCGCTCTTATGCTGAGGCGATCGCGGGTGAGTACTCCTCTCAGTGGCAGACAGCCATGGACGCAGAGATGGCATCCTGGAAGTCCACAGGCACGTACGTCGACGAGGTTCCCCCTCCTGGGGCGAACATCGTCAGTGGCATGTGGATTTTCAGGGTGAAGCGGCTGCCAGGTTCTCCAACTGTCTTCAAGGCTCGTTACGTTGCTCGAGATTTCAGTCAGCGAGAGGGAGTTGACTTCTTCCAGACCTTCTCCCCCACTCCAAAGATGACCACTCTTCGGGTGCTGCTGCACGTTGCTGCTCAGCGTGACTACGAGCTTCACTCTCTTGACTTCACCACAGCTTTCTTACAGGGCAGCCTGCACGAGGAGATCTGGCTGCGCCGTCCACCTGGCTTCACTGGGTCGTTCCCTCCTGGTACCCAGTGGAGCCTCCGACGGCCAGTCTACGGTCTCCGCCAGGTGCCACGTGAGTGGCACGACACACTGAGGATGACTCTTGCGGCTCTTGGGTTTGCCCCGTCGACTGCTGACCCGTCGCTGTTTCTGCGCACCGACACTTCGCTGCCGCCGTTCTACATCCTCGTGTACGTCGACGACTTGGTCTTTGCCACTGCTGACACTGAGGCGCTCGCCCTGGTGAAGTCGGAGCTGCAGAAGAGACACACGTGCACAGACCTGGGTGAGCTGCGCAGCTACCTTGGCTTGCAGATCACCCGGCACAGAGCACGCCGCACCATCACACTGACTCAGTCACACATGGTGCAGCAGGTCTTTCAGCGCTTCGGCTTCACCTGGTCCTCAGCACAGGCCACTCCTTTGGCTACAGGTCACTCGCCCTCAGCTCCACCTTTGGACGAGTCCGTAGAGCCGAGTGGTCCTTACCCAGAGCTAGTGGGCTGCCTCATGTACCTGATGACCTGCACTCGTCCTGACCTTGCGTACCCTCTTGGCCTTCTGGCTCGCTACGTGGCTCCTGGTCGGCACCGAAAGGTGCACATGGATGCTGCTAAGAGGGTACTACGCTACTTGTGCAGTACATCGGGCATGGGGCTCGTGCTTGGAGGACGGGGTGACATTGTCCTCACTGGTCACTCGGACGCCTCTTGGGTTGACGACCAGGCTACGCAGCGGTCGTCACAGGGTTACACCTTCAGCCTTGGTTCTGGTTCAGTTTCCTGGCGTTCTACATGTTCGTCTTCAGTTCTCGGCTCCAGCTGTGAGGCCAAGATCTACGCCACAGCCATGGCTGCACAGGAGCTACGCTGGCTCACCTACCTGCTGACCGACTTGGGAGAGCGGCCTCGTTCTCCTCCAGTGCTGTACGTCAACAACAAGGCCGCCATTGCCTTGTGTCAGGAGCACAGACTGGAGCACAGAACGAAGCACATCGCTCTGCGTTACTTCCTTGCTCGAGAGCTGCAGCAGCGTGGCCAGCTTCGTCTTGCTTACGTGGCCACTCGGGCCAACACTGCTGATATATTCACCAAGGCACTTCCGCCTGGTGATCATCAGCGTTTCTGTACTTTGTTAGGCCTTGTGCCCACTCTTCCCCACTTGCTGTAGGCTTTACTTGTACTGTGATTTCTATATATATACCTGCCTGCTTGCTCTGGTAGGTAGTCTTAACATGTTGTTGTGAACTGGCTTTGTGGTCTTTTGCCTGTGCTCGGACTGCGTGGTGACGTTGTGATCCACCCTGAGCTTGCTTTGCATTTCGTGACTGGTCTTGTGACCCTCTGTTCTCCCCCACTTTGCCTATGGGGGTGTGTCAAACATACTTATATGATTATAATTGGGTAGGCTGTAGTGGGGTTAGCCTTAGAGGGTACAAAAACAACCTCGACACTCTAGTCTTGTACCCTAATCTCTACCTAATCGATTCACCTTTGCCTAAGTATTAAGAGCCGGTAGAGGAGCTCAACGCGGGGCGAGTGTGCGACTAGTTCATCAAGGATAAGGCGAAGCGAGAAGAGGACATCAATTCAAGTGTTCTCAAATGGCACAAAGCCCCTGAGTGGTAGAAATGGCGCCTCAAGGCTCCAATAAAAGTTCTTAGCAGGTGTGAGTTAAGAAATACTTTCTCAAGGCACTTGGTCAGAAGTGGCAAGTCTGATCACTTCATCACACTCGTGTTTGGGTTTGGGGGTATTCCTGCAAAAGTTGCAAATCTATTCAACGTTGGCTCACCCATGTATGTTAATGCTAGGCTGAAAATGGCCATTAAGATCGTGTCGAGACCGATAATGATGGTATGATGGTATTAACCTAGTACGACCGTATGATGGTAGCGTAGAGCAATTAGAAGATTTAGAATGAGAGTACTAGGGGGGCAGGCAGGACTGTAAAGAACAAGGGGAGATAAGAAATCTTCTCAATGAGTAGTATTGTAAGGATTTACAAATCCTTACTGAGGCACTCGTTAGCGAGGCCATCCCGAGGGTCACGCGACGAACCTGTCCTTCCTATTTCGTCGCACCGAACCACTCCCGAACGGCCTCCGCTCCAATCGCAAGCATCACCGAGCCATCCTCGCCCAACCTCCCCGCCTAGCTAGCTTTTCCCCTATTTAGGCCTCGGCATTCTCATTGTATCGTCATTCAGTAATTCTCATTCTCGTTATTCGTTTTACTGCGCACTCTGCAAGTTCAGTAATTTCTGCGCACTCAGAAATTGGAGGAGGTCATACTCGTTATGGTAACTTCCGTAGTATTCAAAAGTCACTTCGCCCGATCAACCTTCGTACCCTCGTTGCGGCACGCAATAGTTCCCTTCCCCGTCGCCTCAACTCTCTTCCCGTAACGCGGCGATTCCCTTTCCGTCGCGCGGCGATTCCCTTCCCGTCGTGCTGCATTTTCCTCCCGTCGCGCGGATATTCCCAACCCTCACGCGGCCGTTCCCTTCCCTCCGCTGCAGGAATCCGTCGCGCGGCTGTTCCGCTCTAACGCCTGTAACTCCACTTACTCACGCATCAGTCGCTTCCCACCGTGGGAATTTCCTCATTCGGGTGACCCGCCGCAATTTCCTCATCTCCCGACGCTAGTCCGTTGCACTCGCTGCCATTCCGGCAGCCACTCGCTTCCATTCCCTTCCCCTCACGCTTCCGTTCCCTTCCCCTCACGCTGCCATTCCCTTCCCCTCACGCTGCCATTCCCTTCCCCTCACGCTGCCATTCCCTTCCCCTCGCGCTTCCGTTCCCTTCCCCTCACGCTGTCATTTCAGCGAATAATCTATCCGTAATGCATATCGAATCACGAGCCTTCACGAACAGTTTCGCGCAGCGATAGCACCACTCCGCGGATACGAACCTCAGCTGCTCGCCGTGATCGCATAGCAGCGCTCACATGGCGCCACAATTAGACGAAAAGGGTTTGGATACGCGGGCGGAGAGCAGAGGAGCAGATGTTAAGGCGATGGCGGGAGGGGGCGACGGCAAGGAGGCGGCGCTGGCGCGGCATTCGTGGGTGGACTGGTTGGCGCTGGTGATGTGGATGGGGTGGCTGCACATCCTCCTCGCCACCCTCCTCGTCATCGCGCTCACCTTCCCGCACCCCATCGCCCTCGCGCTGCTGCTGCTGCTCGCCACGCTCTCCGTGACGCCCGTCGACGTCGAGGGGCGGCTCGCCAAGGCGTACAGGAGGTCAGCCGCCTCGCATTCGCTCGCTTTCCCTCCGCTACGCCGCGGACTCCGCACATCCAATCGTGTCCGAATTCCACTTTCTTCCTCCTCGCCGCTCTCAACCATGCCTGCACACACCCATGCCCGCGAAAACGTGTCCGTGGATTGGCGCATTCTGTGTGCCTTCTCACTCGCTGTGTCGTCCCCGCTGTGCGCCATGCTGTGTGCGCCATGCTGTGTGCGCCATGCTGTGTGCGCCATGCTGTGTGCGCCATGCTGTGTGCGCCATGCTGTGTGCGCCATGCTGTGTGCGCCATGCTATGTGCGCCGATGGCAGGTTCATCTACCCGGTGGTGCTGCGCCACTTCCCCGTGCGCGTGCTCTTCCTCGACCCAACCACCATCACCTTCGGCAAGCCCTACGGTGCGACGGACGTGCATCGTATATTTGATTGAGCTTCTCAGTTGAACTGAGCTCGTCATCTTTCAGGGCGTGTTGCAAGTTTGAAAATCCAAGGATCGTGGCTGCACACCGATCCGTTGTTGGAGATCCCGGGCTCACTGAATATCGATCAGTGTACGACGACCGCCCAAGCGTACTACCACCTAGAGTATTGCGACAGTGTGGTTTCGCTTTTCAATCGCAGAAACAATAAACACCCTGTTCGCCACTGTCTCGTCAAATTTTGCAGCCCATATAACACTGACATGCGAGTTTTTCTGCGCATCGCGAAATGGTGTCGTGACTGTATGTTGTCTGCATCATCAATCTCATGATCGATCTTCGTGGCGAGGCGAGGCGATCGAGCTGGTTTCCGCTAATCTCCTCGGTCGTGCACAGTGCTAACACTGTAGTATGGTAACCTTCCGCTACGATAGTTGACCACAGTGAGGATCGGTTCGAGGAGGCGATCGATCCTCTACTTGCAACACGCCCTCAGCACTCGTGCAACGGTCGAACATTTGCCGCATTTGCGTTGGTCCTCCAAGTACCTGGGTAATAGGAACATGGTCGCAGTCCCCATGTACCCCGGCTACTCACATTTAACACACTCGGGACAAGAAGCAACCTCTTGCATACATACCATTCCCACATGCTGAACCCTCGCTTCCCCCTTCCCCTTCCCAGCCCCCTACATATCCATGATTTGCGCTCATCCCTTCCCCCTCCCCCTTCCCCCCCGGGCAGTGGTGGGGTTGGAGCCGCACTCAGTGCTGCCCATCGGCCTGGCGGCGCTCATGGAGCATCCCATGTTCGTCCACGGCTACGCTGGCGCCACGTCAGCGCTCTTCCGCGTGCCGCTGCTGCGCCAGTTCTGGCAGTGGGTGCGCACGGCGCCCGCCACGCGCCCCACCCTCACGCGCCTGCTCAAGCGCGGGTGCACCGTGGTCATCATCCCGGGCGGCGTGCAGGAGTGCGTCTTCATGGCGCCTGGCAGGGAGGTGCGCCCAACTCATACATGGGTGCAGGGGGGAGGTGGCATGTGCGGGAAGGTAGCGTGTGAGGGAAAGGTGGCGTATGGGGAGAAGGAAGAAGAGGTGGTTTATGGGGTAAGGAGTTGAGTCGCCATCCCATCCTTCTCTGCCTGCCATGCTCACCTCTCCGCTCTCCCTCCTACCGCTGCCCTTGCTCCCCAATTTCGATGCTCCTTTCTACCCCTTTCCCTCATCCTTACTCCCTCGCATCCTCACTCTCGTATCCACTCCCTCCCTCCCTCCCTCCCTCCCTCCCTCCCTCCCTCCCTCCCTCCCTCACTCCCTCCCTAACTCCCTCCCTCCCTCCCTCTCTCCCTCACTCCCTCCCTCCCTCACTCCCTCCCTCCCTCACTCCCTCACTCCCTCACTCCCTCCCTCCCTCCCTCCCTCACTCCCTCCCTCTCACCCTCCCTCCCTCACTCCCTCCCTCACTCTCTCCCTCCCTCCCTCCCTCCCTCCCTCCCTTTCTCCCTCCCTCCCTGCCCTCCCTTTCTCCCTCCCTAACTCCCTCCCTCCCTCCCTCCCTCCCTCCCTCCCTCCCTCTCTCCCTCACTCCCTCCCTCACTCACTCCCTCCCTCCCTCACTCCCTCCCTCCCTCACTCCCTCACTCCCTCACTCCCTCCCTCCCTCCCTCCCTCACTCCCTCCCTCACTCCCTCCCTCACTCACTCACTCCCTCCCTCCCTCACTCCCTCACTTCCTCCCTCCCTCCCTCACTCCCTCCCTCCCTCCCTCCCTCTCTCCCTCACTCCCTCACTCACTCCCTCCCTCCCTCACTCCCTCCCTCCCTCCCTCCCTCCCTCCATCACTCACTCCCTCCCTCCCTCACTCCCTCTCTCCCTCACTCACTCCCTCCCTCCCTCCCTCCCTCCCTGCCCTCCCGCCCTCACTCCCTCCCTCACTCTCTCCCACCCTCCCTCCCTCCCTCCCTCCCTTTCTCCCTCCCTCCCTGCCCTCCCTCCCTCCCTCCCTAACTCCCTCCCTCCCTCCCTCCCTCCCTCCCTCACTCCCTCCCTCACTCCCTCCCTCCCTCCCTCACTCACTCCCTCCCTCCCTCACTCCCTCACTCCCTCACTCCCTCCCTCACTCACTCCCTCCCTCCCTCCTTCCCTCCCTCCCTGCCCTCCCGCCCTCACTCCCTCCCTCACTCTCTCCCTCCCTCCCTCCCTCCCTCCCTCCCTCACTCCCTCCCTCCCTCCCTCCCTCCCTCCCTCCCTCACTCACTCCCTCCCTCCCTCCCTCACTCACTCACTCCCTCCCTCCCTCACTCCCTCACTCCCTCCCTCCCTCACTCCCTCCCTCCCTCCCTCCCTCCCTCCCTCACTCCCTCACTCCCTCACTCACTCCCTCACTCCCTCCCTCCCTCCCTCCCTCCCTCACTCCCCTCACCCCAGGTGGCGTTTGTGCGGCAGCGCTTTGGCTTCATCCGCCTGGCGCTGGAGCAGGGGGTGCCCGTCGTGCCCTGCTTCGTCTTCGGCCAGGTGCACTCAGAGGGGCGGGCGCCCGGCGCAGGGCACAAGGCGGACGGTGGAAGGGGGGGAGCCGAGCCGGAGGGCGGAGTGCAGTAGGCGGTGTGCCGAGTAGGATGCCATTTTGCGCCCGGCAGTTTTCTGTTGGCCCACTTGGCAGGGGCATGCAGCACAGCACCCACACTTGTCAACGTGCCCTTGCCCTTGCCACTGCGCCTGCTTCTCGTACCTCCTTGCTCGCCTCGCCTCGCCCCCGGCACAGCAAGTTCCCCCCCTTTTCCCCCTTTTCCTCTCATGCGCCCACCCCCCCTCCCTCAGACCACGGCGTACCACTGGTGGAAGCCGCAGGGTGCATGGTACCGGGCGATGGCACGGCGCGTGGGGTTTGCGCCGATTGTGTTCTGGGGCATGTGGGGGTCGCCCATCCCCCTGCGTAACCCCATCACCATCGTCTTCGGCAAACCCATTGCCGGCGGGCACCCCGACCCCAACCCTTCCAAAGAACGGGTGAGTCTGCAACTGATATGTGACGGGCTGGGAACACAGCTTTTATACCAATGCGGTAGGCGGGTGAAGGCCACAAGCAGGGCACAGGCTGTATGCATGCAGGCATGAGTGCATGTATAAGTGCAAGCATGGGTGCATGCATAAGTGCAAGCATGGGTGCATGCATAAGTGCAAGCATGGGTGCATGCATAAGTGCAAGCATGGGTGCATGCATAAGTGCAAGCATGGGTGCATGCATAAGTGCAAGCATGGGTGCATGCATAAGTGCAAGCATGGGTGCATGCATAAGTGCAAGCATGGGTGCATGCATAAGTGCAAGCATGGGTGCATGCATAAGTGCAAGCATGGGTGCATGCATAAGTGCAAGCATGGGTGCATGCATAAGTGCAAGCATGGGTGCATGCATGACTGGGAGCTGGATGCGTGGTGGCAGTAGTGCGCTTCAAGTATGTGTTATGATTGCCTTCATGTCCCCTCGCTTCCTCGTCACTCTCTTTCCTCCCTTGCTTGCCGTGCCATGCGCCCCAACATCCCATGCATGGCACGCCATCCTCTCACACGCCATCGTCTCACACGCCATCGTCTCACACGCCATCGTCTCACACGCCACCCTCTCACACGCCATCGTCTCACACGCCATCGTCTCACACGCCATCGTCTCACACGCCATCGTCTCGCTTCACCCGCCATGCAGGTGGCGGAGGTGCATGCGCAGTACGTGGCGGCGTTGGAGCACCTCTTCCTCACCTACCGCGCCCAGGCGGGCTTCCCCCACACAGAGCTCCAGATCATGTGATGTGATCCCGCATGGCACGCAGATACACACTGTACCGTTCAAAGAATGTTGTAAAGCGGATGTGAATGAAAGGGAAGGTGGGGAGAAGGTACCCTCACCCAGATTGACGCCGCTTGGGGCTTTTAGTTTTATTGTGTTGCATTCCTTATGGTAGGGCTCATTCCCTGTTTTACTACCCCCGTAGCACACGCTGGTAGTGAGAGCCCTAATAATATGTTTCAGATTCGAATTGGTCGAAATTGGTGCAGTTCATGCCCTACATTTATTGCGTTTTTTTTTATACATCTCTATGAACAAACGTCTACCTTTTATTACTTGCAGATTTTGAGCAGGTCTTCAAAACTTTCATTGAGTATGCAATGCAGTACAAACACCAATTCACAATATGGATCATTTATATATATCAATCCTTTCCCCCATACTTCTTCAGTTTCTTGCGGAAGCTTCGCTTGCGGCTGAATGCACTTTCCTGTTTAACAAAGGGTGAGGAGGAATGGAAAATGACTCCGCAAGAACAAGACTCACAGCTGAGTGCAAACTTTTCAAAGCGGGCACTCCAGTAGCACAAAACTGACAAGGAACGGGATGAAACACAGCCAACAGATTCAGATGCCACACATCCCAATCACCATGCTTTCCCCCTTCTCCCCCATCTCACCACAAGCCCCACTACCCCTCCCCTTTCCCCAGCCACTACATGTGTTCTTCCCATTCTGCACTGCCTCCCATCTCACCACATGGCCTCTGAAGCACTCACCGTGCTCTCCCTCTGAAGCACTGCTGCCCTCACGGCCTCAGCCAACGGCGCGCTGCCAGCTGTGTACAGGCTCGTGACGCGCCCGGGCCTGCCCGCCCTGCCAGTCCGGCCCACGCGGTGCAGAAAGTCCACAGCGTTGAGAGCGAACTCGGCCTGGGAGGTGAAGGAAGAAGAAGTGGGGGTTGCGAGGGGGAAGCAGGTAATTTGAGTTGGCAAGCCCTGCTCTGCCCCGTTGAGAGCAAACACAGCCTGGCAGAGGAAGACACTTGAAGGGAGGCCGATCGAGAAAGGGAAGAAATTGAGTGCAGTGAATTTCGGTTTGATGTCCACTCTTCGCCCTGCCAGCCGTGACCCGCCCTGCCTGCAGACAGAGGAGATCTCTCCTGCAGTGTGAAGTCAACGTTCTCTCCCCATACGCCCTGGAGCGTTTCGAGTCGACTCCCCATCCTGGAGCGTTCACTCCCCATACGTGCTGGCCTACCAGGCGTGCCAAAACTGCCTACATAATGCAGAGAGTCAACGCCATCAGAAAATGTCCACTTCCTCGCTCACGTGCCCCCATCTTCCCCCCTCTCCAACACCCCTTCTCCCCCTCACCTGCACCACGTGAGACACATGCTCACCTGCACCACGTGAGACACATGCTCCACGTCAATTCCCCGTGAAGCAGCATCAGTGCACACCAGCACGCCCCCTCCTTCTTGGAACCTTCTCAGTGCGCGCTCCCGCTCGTCCAGTGGCACGTCCTTGTGGTACACCGCACACCACGCCACGTCAGCAGCTCTCCCTGCTGCCACGTCAGCAGCTCCTCCTGTGGCCCCGTCATCGGTTACTCCTGCTGACGAAGCAGCAGCAGAGGTGGACAGGTGGCGCTGGAGGAGCCGGCCAATGGCGTCCACCGATTCCACGTCATTGGCAAAGACCATGGTCCGTTGGATGCTGTCCTGCTGCTTTGCACCCGGCGGACCATTTTCACCGCTCTCCACCCCTTCATATGTCTGCCCAGTCAGTGCTCTGAGCAGTGCAGCGGCTCTCGAGCTGTCATCCACCTGATGCCAGTCGTGCCGTACGCTGACATGCAGGGGGTTGAGAGGGGTCGGGAAGAATGGGGAAGAGGGAGAAGCAGGATCGATGGAAGGAGAGGAGAGGGGCGAGTGGGGTTGGATTGGCAGGTGGCGAACTGGCATACACCTGAGGCTGATGCCCGGTCGCTGTACTTTAGACGAGGCAGGATTGGGAGGACGATGAGGAAGGGAAGCGGGGAGTGGCTAGTGGATTGATAGCTCGTAGCAGCCCTCTCTTGAGCCACACAGGCTTAGGTGTGCATGAGTGTACAGGAGAGGTGTGCGGTGATGAGCACTCACAAGGGGTTGTGGCGGTGCAGCAGGCCACCGCTGACCCACACGGCGGCAGGGAACTGGCGGGCCAGCACCTCCCCCACGCTCCTCTTGGTGCCCACCGGCATGGTGGCCGCCACAAACACATACTGCTTGCTCCGCGCATACTCCCTCCTCCTCCTCCCCCACTTCGCCCTCCTACTCCCCTCCTCCCTCGCACTCTCCCGCACTCTCACCACCACCTTCCCCCCTCTGCCCGCGGCTCGCTCGCTCTCGCCCAGCCGCACAGCTGCATCCAGCACTGCTGCTCTCTCCTCCCCATGCTTGCCCCCCTCCTCCCCCTCACTCCACTCTCTATCCGCCTCACCATACCCTCCCCCCTCCTCCGCTCCCTCGACCACTCTCTTCTTGCCCTGGTAAGCAGCAGAAGCTGAAGACGAGGCATCAGCGGCAGCAGCAACAGCAACAGCCTTGTGCGCTCGTCCCTCGCCTTGTTCCTGAACTACCTCTGGAACCATCTCGGTCCAATGCACCTCCTCATCCTCCTCCCTCCCTTCCTCCTCTCTTTCCCTAACACCAGATCCCCCCGCCAGCCTGGCAGCCTCGGAGCGCTCCTTCTCGTCCAATCGGAAGAGCCCGAGCAGGCGGCCAACGATCCGGGCGTACCCCCCGCCCAGCAGCATGTCGGCCTCGTCCGCCACCACCAGCGCCACGTCCCTCACGAACGCGGAGCGGCGGCGCTGCTGCGGGTCGAACGCAAAGAGATGGTTGAAGAGCGCCGCTGGCGTCGCTACCACCACGTCGGGGGGAGAGGAGGGCCACGCCTGGCGAGGAGACGGGGAGGGGAAGGGAGGGATTTGGGATGGGGCATTCTGAGAAGCCACCAGCAGGTGAGGCGGGGAGGGCGTAGGCCGATACCGGAAGGGGAAGGGCTTAACACGGCAATCGGGAAAGAGGGGCAAATTCAAGTCAACTTGAATGAAGAATTTGAGGCGGCTATTCGTGAACACCAACACGGCACGAGTAACCAAGCAAGAAGCGGCTCTCTTAGCCTAGAGTTTATAATTCTGAATTCTGTGGACCTTTCTTTCCTCACCTGCCCACCAACGACAGCCTCCACTGCGAGCAAGGGGCGGTTGTGTGCGGTGCGGAGCGACAACGCCATCTCCATGACCTGTGGTGTGGCGGGCGGCGGGCATAGACGCATGGGGACGAATGTGAGGCATGGCAGGGAATGGCGGGCATTGTTGGCATGGAGGAAAGCAGAGACAATGCAATCCCCATGACCTGTGAAGTGGAGTCAGAGAGCCAGGGGGGATGGAGGAATGGGGAATGTGAAGCATGGCAACGAAATTCAGGAATGATTGGCATGGAAGGGTGGAGAGGGAGTGTAGAACGAACTTGCACTCACTTCCCCGACCCCCCTCCCATTTGTCCTCGCCACCCCACTTTCCCCGTTCATTCCGTCCCACCCTTATTGTCAGCCACCCACCTGGCGGCACAGGGCAGCATTGGGGCACAGCACTAGAGCAATTTTGTGAGCTCCCACCCACCAACCCTCACTGCCCCGCTTTCCAGCTTTCCACCATCACAACCCCCTCCCCCTCCCCCCCCCCCCATCACACTCCCCCAATCACAGCTCCCCACCACACCCCCGCTCATCCTCTCATTCACCCACCTGGCGGCACAGGGCAGCGTTGGGACAGAGCACCAGAGCAAACTTGCGTGCTCCCACCCTCCTCCTCCTCACCTCTCCCACCTCTCCCTCCTCTCCCAGCCTCCCCTCACTCCTTCCCTCACTCCTCCCCTCACTCCCCTCCTCCTCACCCGCCTTCTCCTCTTCCCTCTCTGCCATCTCCCTCCGTCTCTCCTCCTCGCGCCACGTCAGCACATGACTCAGCACAGGTGCCAGGTAGGCATGCGTTTTCCCGCTGCCCGTTTCAGCAGCCACCACCACGTCTGATCCGGATAAGATCTGGGGAATGGCGCCAGCCTGCACATAATATCGAGTGTGAGCACAATGGAGATGAAAAAGAACGAAAACAAAATCATGGGGGGCCGGGGAGGGGGACGGGGGGTGGCAGTATCTGGGTGACAGTCCAGGCGTGCAAACAAAATCGAGTGTGGTTAAAAGGGATCTCAGAAAAACAAGCAGAAAAACGAGGGGGGTTTCTACAGACTACGGGGAATGGCGCCAACCAGCGCAGAACCCAAGCCTGGTAAGGACTACACCTCGTCCCACGCTGCAGGCTCCCTGAGATCACTCAAGGGCCAACAGGCGCTCAAAGCCTGCTCTTCACGGAGCCTCCACCCGACCTATGACAACTCCAAAGCTTAAACACCACCCCTTCTCTCTTACCACGCCGCCAACCTCAATGGCTGACTGACGGCCGCTCGAAGCGTGCCCTGCACATGGCCACCCCACGTCACACGTGTCGCATCGAGGCCGACAATAGTCCCATGAGGAATCCAATGCCCACATGAGGAATCCAATGCCCACATGGGGAATCCAATGCCCACATGGGGAATCCAATGCCCACATGGTCGCTGCAAAGCCCTTCCTCAGTTTACAGCCCACATGGTCGCTCCGGGCCTGCCCCCCCGCATTGCCTCCCACTGCGCTGCAAGCCCACATACCACCTCGCACCTCACCTCACCTGCTTGCACCTCGCACCTGAATGGCTGACGGCCGCTCGAAACCTGCCCTGCACATCGCCTCCTCCACCTCCCCCTGCAGCCCCAGGCTCTGCCACGTCACGCCCACGTCAGCAAAGAACACGTCATCCCAGCCCGTGACGCCCACTCCCCCTTGCTGCATCGCCACCTCCGCCACTCCCCTCACTCCGCCCTCCCCTCCTTCTGCCCCCCCTTGCTGTACCCCCTCTTCCGCCACTCCCTTTCTGCTGCTCTCCCCATCTGCTTCTCCTCCGCCTGCTGCAATGCCACCACCTTCCCTCTGCCTGTTCTCGCTATACCCCTTCCCGCCTCCCCCCTCCACCGCTCCCCTCTCCCCAAGCTTCCGCTCCTTTGCCTCGCCTTCACTCTCTCCCCACGCTCTCTCCCTCGAATCTTCCCCATCCGTCTCCCCTCGTCCGCCTGCTGCTTTCCCAACAGCAGGAGCCCCTTGAGTTCCACACGCCTCGCCGTCAGATGCCCCAAACCTCTCCCTGCTCCATCCACTTCCCTCTCCTCCCTCCTCCTCCGCCCCCCTCCAATTCCCTCCCTCTGCTTCCCCAACACTCCTCGTAACCGCTCCCCATCGCCTCCCACCGTCCCCCTTCCCTTCCCTCTTTGCCCCTTTTGCACCTCCCTCCCTTTCCGCTCCCTCCCACCGCCCGGCCCTCTCGTGTCTCCCATAACCACTGAACCTGCTCAACTCGCTTTGTCTTTCCTGCCTGCGCGCCCGTCCACGACTTGCCCTGCCCTCTCTCTTCTCATGCCCTTCCTGTCTCCTAGGACCCTCCTCCTCTCCCCGAAATCTCCCCTCCTGCCCCTTAAAACCCTCTCTCTGTCCCCGAAACCCCTCGCCATTTCCCCTTGAGCGGTCTCCGCCGTCTCTCCTGAGCCCCTCTCGCCCTCCCCGGCCTTCACTGCTTGCGAATCTCTCTCGCCTTAACCCCTCTTTGTTAAAACCCTCTTCCCGAAACCCTTCTCTCCCACGCCATTCCTCGTAATCCCCAGCACTTGCGGCCCTCCTCCTGTCGTTCTCTCCCCGAAACTCCGTCCTCCCACGTCTCTCTTCCTCGCTTCTAAACCCCTCTTGCCCACTGCTATCACCATAGCTGCCGGCACTTACACCCCCTCTCCTGCCCTCCTTTCTCCACATTCTATTCCTCTCCTCTCTGAACCCCTCGCTCCCTCTCCTCTCCTCTCCTTTAAACCCCTCTCTTCCCGAACGCACTTCAGTACCCCCGTACACATCCTCGCCCCTCTTGAAACCCTCCCTCCCTCTCCGCCCTTCACCAACCCAAAAACTCTCTCGCCTATTTCCCCATTCCCCAGGTCCCCATGCGTCACTCCTACCGCTCCTAAGACCCTCGCGTCCCTTGCGCTCGTCTTCGCCCCTAAAACCCGCTGCCCTGTTCCTCCCGCCCACGCGTGGCTCCGAGTCCGTCCCGCCGTAACCCTCCCTCGCTAAACCCTTTGCGAAAAACGAGCCCTTGTCGCCACGACGCCGATGCCCTAAAGACACGTGGCGAGAGGAGGAGGATGCTGGAGCGGTTCGTCTAACCACCCCGAGGGACGGCGAAATCGGACCGACGGCGGTATGGAAGCGTGTGGAATATTCTAAAGCTAAGAAGTGACAAGATTTACGTACTAGGAAGAGTAGACGGGACGCCATGGCCACGGAGAATAGGGCAGGAAGAAATCGAGATGGAAAAATAGACAAGTCGAGAATGTGTTGTGACGAGGCGTGTTCTTAGGTCGTGTGACATTTGAAAGTGGGTTCGGAAAATAGGTCAAACTGGAAATGGTAACCAGCTTCGCAAATGTGTGATCCGTCATTTGCTCCTAGGTGAATGCACTCGTTGAGCGAATGAGCTTGAGCGGTATGGTTCAATTCCGTCTTGAACAAGTTTGTATCACGCCCTGACATACGTACTTCAAAAACAACTTCGAAAGCTTTGCTGGAGAGAGTATTCGAAGCAGGAATGCGCAGGATTTAGGGTGGTCGCGAGGGTGAGTGAAGCCATCTCACCACGCTTACCCACGCACCTCGCCTCGTCGCGCCTCCCCTGGTCGCCCTGGTCGCGCCTCCCCTGGTCGCGCCTCCCCTGGTCGCGCCTCCCCTGGTCTCGCCTCCCCTCTCATTTGCGCCACCCCTCGTGGCGCCTTCCCACGTCGCGCTTCTCTTGCCCTCGGCGCGCCCCCCCTCCTCTCGTCGCGCCTCCCCTCGTCGTTTCGATTGGCTCCTCGCGGCAGCAGAGCTTGCAGCGGCGGAGAAGGCTGTCGCTGTGGACGACCCGTCGGCCACAGTAGGGTCTGCCCATGATTCTAACGGTAACGCTTCGCGCCGCGTACGTCGCGTGCTCTCAACCTCCATTACCACTCCTTGCGAGTCGCGCTAGCCTCGACAAGGCCAGCATTAGGAAGGGAACGGACCCCGTGAATTGCAACGACCCCCTCTTGAGGACTGGCGCGTTGAATGCGGAACCCTCAAAGGCTCGGACCGACCCCTTCGATCGTACCGACAGGTTAGGGACGAATACGGTTCTCAACACTAGTGGCAATGATGACGTAAGAAATGACGTCAGCGGTGACGCTAGGGATGATGACGGTGGAATCCCGCTGGATCCGCTGCGCGATCTGCGGCCATCGCTCATTGGCTCCACGTGGCAGCGCGAGTCGTGGCGGCGGAAAAAGCGGCCCGTGAAGACGCCGCGTCGCCCAGAGAAGGCGCGGCCGTCGCTGGTGGAGGAGATCGCGACGGCGTGGAGCAACGACCGCCGCCGACGCCGCGATGGTCGCTGGATGGTCGACACGCCGGTGAGCTTGAGACGCAATACACCTTGCGGTGCGCCGTGCTACGCGAAATTCGTTCCATGAAGATGGGATGCCACGTGGACGGAGAAGGCAATAGGGTCGGTGGGATGTGAAGCCCAACCCAGGTGCACTTGAGCACATTCTCCCTTTCCACTCTAACACGCCCCCTCTCTCTCCTCCGCTCCCCTCTCCCTGCTTCCCCCACCGCCCTACCTCCCCCCATAGTGCCCCATATCCACCTTCCCGCTTCCCTCTTCACCCCATCGCCCTTCCCCGGCCGCGCTAGCCTTCCTCCAGCAGCGACCACTTCACCTTAACCGCACCCTTTCTCGCCTCTCCCTCTTCTTCTCGCTTCTCTTCCCCCGCTTCCCCCCTTCCCCTCCTCTTCCCTCCCCCTCTCTCCCCCTCCTTCCCCGTCCCGTCCTGTCCCTTCGCTCTCCCAACCATCGCGCTGGCCCCACCCCTCCTGCCCTGACTGCACAGCAAGCTGCTCCTTTCGCCTTCACCCCCTTTCGTTTCAAAATCCTTTCAGCTTCGCTTCTCCCTCCCCACCCCCTCCCCCCCCCCAACACCCACTTCCCCCTCCCCCCCCCCAACACCCACTTCCCCCTCCCCCCGTCCTTTTTCCCCACTCCCCCAGCGCGGCATCCCCACGTGTCCCCGCCCGGACCCGCCCTGCCCCGACTGCAGGGGGAGTGGGCGAGTGGAGTGCACCCGCTGCTGCGGCCGAGGTGCGAGTGCTTGGGGGGGGGCAGGGAGGTGGGGAGGGGAGGGGGGAAGAGGGGGGGGGCGAAGGGGGGTGGGGTGGGGGGGAGGGTGTGGGAACGGCGCTTTGCATGGTGGGCGCAGAGAGGTTGGTGGGGATGATGTGATGGGGTGGGGTGGGTGGATGCAGTGGTGGGCGCGGCTGGGTAGTGGGGAACGGGGGGACGAGGGGGGCACCCATCCCATGGTGGAGGGGCGAGGGAGGCACCCATCCCATGGTGGAGGGGCGTGCGTGCTGCGGGGGTGGGGGTGGAAGTGGGGGAGGGTGGGAGGTGTGATGGACAAGGGGGTGGGGGGGAGGAGGGGTTTAGCATGGCGTGGACAGGAAGAGGATTGATGGGAAGCAGTGCGATGCGATGCGGTGGTAGTTCTGTAGGCAGTTGGGGCTGGACTGGAATGGGGCGGGGCTGTGAGGAGCGAGGGGAGGCGAATCAAGTGGCGACAATGGAAGGGAGGGCTGCACATGATGCGGGCGAGGCAGGGGCACATGATTGAGGGGCTACTTGCGAGAGAGCGTTTCTTTAGCATTAGCACTTGCACTCCGTTCTTCGTTACTCTCCATCGTTTGTCTGCGTCCCTTTGTTTGATTTTCTGTTGTCGTCCTTATCCTGCCCAAAGCGTGCACTGGTGCATGTGTAATGCTCGTTCTGCTTCGACCCCTCCTGCCCCTGCCCGTGCCTGCCAGGCCGCACCAACCACGTTGACCTCGTCATGCTCCCCACCGGCTCCTGGCCGCGCTGGTAGGCTCCTGGCCGCGCTGGTAGGCTCCTGGCCGCGCTGGTAGGCTCCTGGCCGCGCTGGTAGGCTCCTGGCCGCGCTGGTAGGCTCCTGGGCTCTGTATTTGCACTCGGCGCATGCTCGCACCCATGTAGGCACACAAAACACCACTGCCACTACTGTATCCTCTGCCATTTCACACAACACCACTGCCACTACTGTATCCTCTGCCATTTCACCTGGCTGCTTGTGAGTAGCATCACAGCCACCCACATCCACCCGTACACACATCCACCCGTACACACGTCCAAAGCTGTAGCGCTGGAATCTGTAAGTGCTGGCAGCGCTCGGCTCCCAGGTGCTGCTTCCGCCGGGGCACTGGTGCTGCTATTCCCGCATTCCCTGGGCTTATCTCCCTCTCCCCCTCTTCCCCCCCAAACCCCACTCCGTCCTCCCCGGCGCAGGTGCTGGTTCTGCAGGGGCAGTGGGCGGTGCTACTGCGCGTGCTGCCTGGGCACGGGGGAGAAGCGCGGCCTCATCGGCTTCCACTGACCACCCGCCTCCTTCATCGCCACCCACTCATCGCCGCCCTCCTTCACCACCACCCACTCATCGCCGCCTCCCTTGTGTGCTTGGCGTCTTTCATCTCATGCGGTCACAGTGCCTGTGTCCTCCACTTGGGGTGCAAGCGGAACGCAGCATGAGCTGCCATACGCATGCAGTGAAGTGCCTGTGCTGTGCAACACACTCCTGTGCCATGGAGGGGAGGAGGGGAAGAGGGGGTACACCTGTGGCGTCTGCTGGCATGGCAACGTTCACTACTGGCATCCATGGCTCTCATCCCGCATTCACTGCTGTTTGGATGTACATTGCTGTATATTTACGCTAGCTATATTAATCACCAGTTATTGTAGGGACAATCCACTGCTAGCAACAATTATACCTTGATTGCACCCAAAACGCTGAAGCCTAGTGCTTATTATATGTATAGCTTGTGCCCCAAAATATCGAACAGCTAGATGGTGGAGGCGTATCTTGCGTTGTGAGTCTCTGAAAGCAGCGTACATTCCGCGTTCGGATCAATCACGCGTCGGTTGCCATGCGCATGTCATCGCCGCCCGTCATGCCGCCGGATCCCTTGGCGGCGAGCCGTTCTCCTGGCGAAGCGAGAGAGAATCCCAAACCCGCCCGCGCCTCGCACGCTCGTCGCGCTGCCGTCCCGCTGCTGCGCGCCGTCCGTTCTCTGCTTGCGTCACTTGACCAACAGCGATGCGCCGACGTGGCAGCGAGCGACTGTTTGGAAGATGCAGTGAGCCTGCTGTGCGACCGCCTGGAAGTCCTCCGCGCCGCCCACTCGCGGCTGGACGGCACGCGGCGCGGGGAAGGGCAGAGCGGGGAAGGGCAGAGCGGGGAAGGGCAGAGCGGGGAAGGGCAGAGTGGGGGAGGTAAGAAGGCGGAAGGGAAAAGCAGGAGAGGCAGGAAGAAGGCTCGGCGCGGCGAGAAGGGGAAGGAGAGGAAGGGAGAAGTGGATGGTGGGCGCAGGGGGGAAGACGCGCGGACGTCTGGCGGCACGGCGGGTGAGATCAGGGCGACGGTCGCGCGATGTACACTGGCCGAGGGGGAGGGGGGGCTGGCGGAAGGGGAAAAGGGCGATGGCGGACTAGCGGGTGGGGGTAAGGGGAGAGGGATGGGGGAGAGAGAAGCGCGCGTGATGGCGAGGGCGGTGGCGGTGGCTGACAGCGGCGACTGGGGCGCGCTGCTGGCGTGCGGGCAGTGCTGGGGGGGCGCCGGAGAGGGCGGAGAGGGCGGAGAGGGCGGAGAGGGCGGGGAGGGCGGGGAGGGCGGAAAGGGCGGAGAGGGCGGAGAGGGCGGAGAGGGCAGAGAGGGCGGGGAGGGCGAGTGGGAGCACGTGTGTCGGCGCTTCCCTGCTGCCCTCGATGCCATCGAGTCTGCTGCTGCCTCGCTCCTCCTCCTCCTCTGCCACTCCCTGCGCCACTCCCCTACCCCTCCACACCCACCGCCATCTCAACGCCCCTCCTCTGCTTCCGCCTCTCACCCCCCCTCCCGCAGCCCTCTGCTCCCCTCGCCCCTCGTGCTGCCCCTACGCGCGCCCTTCCACCGCCTGCTCCCCCTGCTGCTGCGCTCCCCCTGCCCCTCCGCGCGCCTACAGGCTGCGCGCGCCCTCGCTCTGCTGCTCGCCGCTATCGCCCGCGGCGTCACTCGCGGCCGCGGCTGCTTCCAGTGGGGGCGCGCGCTGGGGGGGACGCAGAGGGGCGCGCAGGAGGGCATGGGCGCAAGCAAGAGGGGTGGGGGGTTGCGAACAGAGGCGAGGACGAGGGGAGAGGAGGTGGGAGGGTGGATGAGGACGGAGGGGATGGAAGGGCAGGGTGGCGGAAGGGAGAGGGCAGCAGGAGGAGCAGGGCGAGGGCAGGAGGAGAGGGAGGATGGCGCAAGAGGTGGCAGGGCGCTCTTGTGTTCTGCAGTGGGCGCGTGCTCTGGTGCAGGGGGAGCAATGGGGGAAGCAATGGGGGAAGCAATGGGGGAAGCAAGGGGGGAAGCAAGGGGGGAAGCAAGGGGGGAAGCAAGGGGGGAAGCAAGGGGGGAAGCAAGGGGGGAAGCAAGGGGGGAAGCAATGGGGGAAGCAATGGGGGAAGCAATGGGGGAAGCAAGGGGGGAAGCAATGGGGGAAGCAAGGGGGGAAGCAATGGGGGAAGCAAGGGGAGAAGCAAGGGGGGAAGCAAGGGGGGAAGCAATGGGGGAAGCAAGGGGGGAAGCAATGGGGGAAGCAAGGGGGGAAGCAATGGGGGAAGCAAGGGGAGAAGCAAGGGGGGAAGCAAGGGGGGAAGCAAGGGGGGAAGCAATGGGGGAAGCAAGGGGGGAAGCAAGGGGGGAAGCAAGGGGGGAAGCAATGGGGGAAGCAAGGGGGGAAGCAGTCGGGGGAGAAAGGCAGGAAGCAACAGTTGGGGGAGGCGGAGCAACAGTTGGGGGAGGCGGAGCAGCAGCAGGGATGGTGGAGAGTGCGGGGGTGCGGTGGGTGGTGGAGGCATACGGTGCCATGGTGCCGTCACTGCATCGCATGCTCTCCCACTCACACCCTCGCCTCGTGCTCGCTGCCCTCACTGCCCTGCACCACCTCCTCACTCTCGGTCCGTACCCTCCCTCCCCGCCGCTGCCTTTTCCTCCTTCTACCACCCCCCTGCGTGGTTGCTCGGCCTTTTCGCCTCATTCCACTGTTCCTTGCGCCTTTTCTGCTGCTCTGCCTCATGCTGCTTTCCACTCTGCTCACCCTACTTCACCTCAACCTCCTCCCTCTCCCCCCTCTCTCTCCCTCCCACCACCTTCCCCCCCTCTCCATCAGACCCGTTGCCAGCAGCCAATCGCATCGCGCGCATGGCTCTGCCTGCCCTCGCCCGCCTGCTGCACGCACACCCCCTCCCTCCGCCTCGCGTCGCCCCCTCCTCGCCCACCGCTGCTGCCCCTGGCCTGGGTGATGGCTCTCGGGGAGGGCCAGCGGGCAGGGCGACGCAGGCAGCGCCAGGGGCAAGAGAGCAGGGCGCAGCGGAATGCGCAGCAGAGAGGGAGGGGCACGCAAGCTTGTCCGCGCTGCACCGCTGCTCGTGTGCCACGTTGCTTGGCCCTGCGTGCGTGTGGCAGCGCTGTGCTCGCCTCTCCGCCTCCATCCTCGTGCGCCTCGCCGCCTCCTCCTCGCCGCGCCTCTCTGCCATCCTCGCCCTCCCCCTTGTGCGCCTCTGGCTCTCCACCGCCACTACCACTCCCTGTGCCACTGCCAGCCATGGGAGTGCCAGCGATGGGAGCGGGGAGATGCCCGGAGCAGGAGGCGATGAGGGAGTGAGGGAGGTGGGTGCAGTCAAAAGGAGGGAAGGGGGCACGGGGCGAGGGGATCAAGCAGTGGGGGCAAATGCAGCGCACCGCACCCCCTGTGCCACCCCCCGCTCGCCTGTGTGCCCTCTGTCCTGGCAGCAGCGGGCTGCGGCGCTGCTGCTGTGTCTGGCAGCGCGCTCCCTCGACCTGCTGCTCCTCGCCTCCGCGCCGCCCTCCCTCGCACTGCTCGTCGCCGCCGTCAGGGGTGCAGGCGGCAGCGGTGAATGTGGAAGGGGTGCCGGCTGTGGGGGTAGGGGGAAAGGGGGAGGAAGAGCTCGGGATGGCGAGAGGGAAGCGGGGGCAGGAGAGCGGGGTGTGCAGACCGGGGGGTGTGCGGGAGGTGCATGGGGTGGCGCAGAGAGGGGGCATGGTGTGCATGGAAGGGGCAGCAGTGAGTGCATGTGTGAGTGCACACGTGCGTGCGTGCCTGCCTGTGCCACCCTGCGTCCGGCCCTATGGTTCTCGCACGGTGCGGTGGCAGCGGTGAGGGTGTGGGCAGCACACGCGCTGGCAGGCATGGCGGGGCAGCGGCGTGCGCGGAGGGGCATGGTGCAGGCGGGGGGCGTGCAGGCGCTGCTGGCGCTGCTGGGGGATGCCCTGGCGGGGGAGAGGAGTATTGGGGGGAAGTGGGTGAGGGGGGGTGGGGAGAGGGGGTTGCTGGGAATGGGGAAGGGAGGTGCCGGTGAGAGGGGGGAAGAAGGGGATTGGGGGGCCGAGGAACAAGGCGGAGAGGGCGAGTGGTGTGGCGGGGGAGAGGGGGAGAAGAGGGCGAGGAGGAGGGGAAACAGCACAGCCACCTTGCCACAGCAGTTGTCACCCACCCGCACGCCCAGTCCCCATCCATCGCCTCCTCCCGCTCTCCAGTCTGCCCATGGCGCCCCGCCCCTCAACCACCTCCCCCGCATGCTGCTTGCCCAGCTCACAGCAGCCACAGCCGTGGGTCTGCTCGCCTGCCACACCGACCCACCTCTCCCTTTCCTGCCCGTCACCGCCACCCCTCTCCTCCTCACCATGCTGCTCCGCGCCTCAGCTGCCCTCCCCTGCGTCCCCCCCTCTCACTCCACCCTCCCACCCCCTGCTCCCTTCCTTCCTCCTCCTCTGTCCCTCTTGAACCACGCTCCTGCGCCCTGCCCTGGCCCCTCGCCCCCCGCCACTCTGCTGAATGCGCTCAACACGCGCAGGCAGCAGGTGGCCCGCGAGGTGCTGCTGCTGCTGGCGCGCTGTAGGCAGGGCGGGCGCGAGGAGGGGGGCGGTGGTGAGGGGGAGGGCGCACGGGCAGTGGTGGGGGAGGTGGTGCGGGCGCTGAGGGGCATGGTGGGACGGGTGGGAGAGATGAAGGGGCTGCAGCAAGAGCAGAGCACCAGAGGGGAGGGGGGGATGATGCAGCAGCAGCAGCAGCGGCTGCAGGAGCAAGAGCAGGAGTATGGGTGGTGGAGGGAGCAGGTGGGGGTGGCACGGCAGCAGGCAGCACTGGTGGAGGTGCTATGTGAGGTGGCGGGCTCTGCAGGCGGGCTGCACGCTGCCGTGGGTGGCGGGGCCGTGCACGCTGTGAGCGCCGTGATGGCCGTGCTGGCAGCGCGCCGGGGCGAGGGGCACGAGGGGTTGGAGAGCGAGCAGGGGAGGCGCGAGGGGGGCGGGGAGGATGCAGATGGGAGCACGGCGGTGGGAGGGGGGGCATGCAGAGGGGGGCGTGAAGGTTGCGAGGATGAGAGGGGTGAGGAGGTGTGCTGGTGGGTTGAGGAGGGGAGAGTGGAGGCAGGAGATGGGGAGAGCGGGGGAGGGGGAGAGTGGAGAGCGATAATGATGGGAGTGAAGGATGGGGTGGAGGAGCAGGAGGACGGCAACGAAGGAAGGGGGGAGGGTGAGAGTGCAGAGGGAGAGGATGGGTGGAGTGAGGAGAGTGAGGAGAGTGAGGAGAGCGAGGAGGATGAGACGCCTCTGTGGCATCTGTGGCAGATGCATATCGACGGGCATGTGCATGGGCATGTGCATGGGCGTGTGGATGGGCGTGTGGATGGGCGTGTGGATATGGATAGGCTTGCTGTGATGGCTTCGGATGGTGGGGAGAGTGCGAGTGACAGTGACATGGATGAGGGGGAGGAGGGGGAGGAGGGGGAGGAGGAGGTTGAGGAGGGTGAGGATGAGGAGGAGGACGAGGAGTATGAGGAGTGGGGAGGAGAGGAAGCTGGGGTTGCGGATGGGGATGGCGAGGAGGGGGGGGGAGAGGAGAGGTGGGGAGTGCAGCGCGGAGAGGCTGGGCGTTCACAGGTGCAGCTGAGGCTGCTGCAGACTCTGTTCGGCCGGGGGTTGGGCGGCGGGACGAGTGAGAGTAGTAGTGGGGATGATAATACTGAGGAGAGTGAGAATGAGGAGAGTGAGAGTGGAGAGAGCGAGGGAGAGAGTGATAGAGAGGAGAGTGAGGGGATCGATGAGGAGAATGAGGAGTGTGAGGAGATGGAGGGAGATTGTGAGGACGAGAGTAAGGATAGTGAGGGCAAGAGGGAGGGTGTAAATGGCAAAGAGGGAGACAGCGAGAGTAGGGAGAGTGAGGGAGGGGGTGCAGACTTGAGTGATGGGGAGGGCGGGGGCATGGCAGGGGAGGGGAGTGGGGCGGGCGAGCACTGTGCGCGTGCTGCTGTTGAGGGCAGGCGGGGCGCTGAGGAGGATGCGGTGGACATGGAGATGGGCGGGGTGGGGGGGCGGGGGATTCATGGGCGATGGTTGGGAGGTGGAGTGGAAGACGAGAGAAAGGCTGTGGAATGCCGCATTGATGGCGCTGATGGCGCACTGGCAGCAAACTCGGCGGCGGTGGTGGCAGCAGCACAGAGGGTTGAGCGGGAGGGAGCAGGTGTGAGGTGTCCACACGGCAGCCGGCACTGCCTGGCTTGGCTGCCTGCGTGGTGGGGGGAGAGGGAGGAGAGGGAGGGCAGGGAGGGCAGGGAGGGCAGGGAGGGTAGGGAAGGAGGTTCAGAGAGAGATGGTGGTGGGTGTATCATGTTGGATGCAGAGACTGGCAGGGGCGATGGTGGCAAGGGACAAGTTGGCGTGGAGGACGAGCGTGGTGTCAGGAGCTGTGGTGCGAGGTGCAGTGCGGTGGCTGTGTGGGACGCACGTGAGGGGAAGGGCGCAGAGAGCGGGCAGGTGATGAGGCGGCAGGGTGGGGCAAAGCGGAAGGCCGAGGAAAAGGAGAGGGAGGGGGTGGAGCGTGAGGGATGCAAGAGTGGTGCTGTGGCTGTGTGCTGGGAGAGGGGTGATGATACGTCAGTGGAAGGGGAAGAGAGGTGTGGGGGGAACATACGGGGGAATGGGCGAGGGCTGGAAGATGCGTGTGGAGGGGAGGGAACGGCAGCAGTAGCTGCATCAGCATCACAGGCAGGGGCAGAGCAGGGTGGGTCGGAGAAGCAAGGGGCATGGAGGGCAGAGAAAGTGGAGGCACTGAGGGAGGAGGCCCGGCAGGAGCAGCGCCTGCTGTGGCGGCGCTGCCTGCACCTGCTGGCTCTGCTCTCCTCTGATTGGACGGCCTGCTCCCACATGGTGCATGCTGGCCTGCTGCCTGCCCTGCTGCAAGCCATCGCCTGCTACCCCTGGCAGCGCCACCCCGAGGTGGGCGCTGAGGGCACTGGGGGCACTGTGCTGGGCAGAGGCGGGGAGGGAGCGGCGGCGGTGGAGGTGGTGAGCAACGTGGTGAGGGTGCCGTGGTTGAGGCACACGGCTGCAGAGGCAGGCGCGCTGGCAGTCATGCAGAGGGCAGCACGGCTCATGCAGGGGCGGGGTGGGGTGGTGCATGGTGAGGCGAGGAGGCATGCAGTGCAGGCAGCGATGCGGCTGTGCGATGTCAAGTATGCCGTGCATGGGTGAACCTTGCTATCTGCACAGCACAGCATGCGCTACCTGTGAGCTGCTGTGAGCATGTGCCAGAGCCTTGTGGCTGCATGCCACTGACTGTTGTTGCTGCAGTCTTTGAAACCAACCTTCTTAGGGCATGTTCCTACGGCCTCATATCAGGAAACCTTGTATCAAGAATGGAATTTATGCCTGGTAAAACTAGCGAGAGGTTTTGGGTTTAGGGGAATTTCAGTGTGAGCCTGATACGAGGTTCTTTTGATACGAGGTGTAGGAACACGCTGTTAGTTACAATAACCAGAAAATGTACGACTTGATTCGAAGGGTTTCGTTTCCCCGTTCATAGAATATGATGAGTTGTATGTAACTGGGAGCATTCGTGAATTGCATCGTTATGTCGTACATATATGTTTTACATTTGTGGTTAGCCAATCTTAGGGTTAGGTACTTGTATAATGTTTCTGTTCATTCTCATTCCGCTTGCACAAACTTTGACATTGTATCAAAGTTTGTGGGGTGCCTCATGTACTTGATGACGTGCAGTTGACCTGGCATCGCCTATTCCTTCAGCATCGTTGCGATTGGGAGACACTGCCAGGCCCACTACGTAGATGGCAGCTAAGAGGGTAACGAAGTACCTGGCGACTACATCAGACATAAAATTTGTGCTTGGAGGGAGCTAGCCAGTGCGACTTACTAGGCACACTAACGCGTCATGGGCGGACGACGAGACGACTCGCAGGTCTTCTCAGGAATATTATTTTAGCCTGGGTTCTAGTGTTATCTCGTGGAGGTCGACGCGTACGTTGTCTGTCGCCTCTTCCAGTGCTAAGGCCGAGAACTACACTGGTGCCATGGCTGCCCAGGAGCTCTGCTGGCTGACATTCTTGCTCACTGACTTAGGTGAGCAGCCTAGCTTTGCCACAACCTTGTTCGTTGTCAAAAGGGCCATGATCCTCCTTTGTTGAGAGCCTTGACTGGAGAGCAGAATGTAGCACATCGAGTTGCGGTACTTCCTTATGCTAGAGCTGCAACGACGCGGCCAGGCACGCTTGGTCTTTGTTGTCTCTGTCAAATGTTATATTTGTTGATAGGCTGTAGTGAAGCATGCTCTAGAGGGTAGAACCCGCTTAGGGTTTCCCATATGTATCCCTAATCCTGCTAGTCCATCATCATTCCGCTGTTTCACGTTCTAACAGGGCCTCAGATGTCAGCGAAAAAAGGCTGATTTAGGGTCGGAAGGCTGATTTTTCAGACATGGGGAGAATGTATGGGCTGATATTTCAGCTTTTTTTTTTAGTGTATTGGCTGATATTTCAGAGATTTTTTCCAAGTGTACACTGATTGCTCAGCGTACTAACGAGGGTGTAGGCTGAAATCGCGCTATTTTTGATTCGTGTAGGAGCCGTGAGTTTTGGCTGTCTAGGTACATCCCCCGTCAGTCACGCGGAAATAGCCATCTACAGCGCTGATGCAGTGGGAAATCGAATGTTCCCATCGATTCGGTGCAGAAGTTCCGCAGCAGAACAACGCACAGTAAAGCACCGCGTGCCCCCAAGTCAAGCACCCCCACCTCACCCACAGCACTTAATTGAAAATGGACTCTAGCTTTGTTCATCCTTAGTTTGTAAGTGAGGCTGATTAGTCAGCCTTTTTTTTAACCAGGACACTGAATATTCAACATTTTTTTAAGGTACAACACTGACTGTTCAGCCTAGGCAAAAACGAATCTGAGGCCCTGCGTTCTAACATTGTATCATCAAATAAGTTCGTTCTGACTGCGCAACTGCCTTGCTGCCCTACTGTCGCGCTACTGCCACTGTTGTTGCCGTTGCTGAACGCGGTGCCCCGCGCGCGCTGCCCTGTACTGCAGAACTGCCCCACACTGCTGCACTCCCCCGCGTGCGCTGCCCCGCGCGCACTGCCCTGCGCTGCCCCATGGTGCCCAGTGCGCACTACCCTGCGCTCCCCCTCTGCGCTATGTTGAGGGTCTGTAGAGGAGTTGTGGACAGCCTGGCGGAGCTCCATGGCAGCAGCAGCAAGAGGGTCTGCAGAGAAGCAATGTGGAGGGTCAGCAGAGGAGCAATGTGGAGGCTCCCCGGCCGCAGCAGCTCCACGCCAGCTTGACCGCATTGCCTACACGTGGTGGACAGCACATGACGCCCCTGCCTAGCTTTCAATCCGCGCTCACCTCTCGTTCGATCAGAGGGCCCAATTTTGCCAGGTGACGTCGGCCCAGGCTTTTTACAACGCTGTAGTTAGGCGCTACTCCTCCCCCTCTTCTTCCACCCTAGGCCGACTTGTGCTGCTGTTTCTCTTCCCCGGGCTGTCTGCCTTTCCCACTGTATCTGACCTCATGACCCATCTGCACTCACTTGACTCCCACTACCGTGCCGCCTTCACGCCAGAGTTTCTGCCTGAGAACCCACCCCCCATGTACCTCATTCTATACTTCCTCACTTCCTCTCCCTAGACCCCGCTAGCCTCGAGCTTGCCTTGTTTGAGACCCGTCTCCTCGAGGCCGAGACCATTGCCCGTGCTATTGCTGTCTCCCGTGGCACCCCCAGCACCTCCTTTTTTGAGGGGTGCGCTCCCTCCCTTCTCACGCCCACTGCTGTTGGTGTTGACCTCATCAGTGCTGAGAAGTAGTGGCAGCGGTGGGCGTAGGTGACGGTTGCGGTGGAGGGGGGGGGGGTTGGTGGGGGTCGCGAGGGTGGCGGAGGTGGCGAAGGGGGTGGGAGTGGTAGTCGTGGTAGAGCAGGTGGGCGTGGCAAGGGTGGAGCAGCCGGTAGAGGAGGCAGCTCTGGGGGTGGGCAGCAGCAAGTTGAGGTTGCGAATGTAGGTGCTTGTGGGACTGCTAGCACAGGTGCAGTTCCTGCGGAGGCATAGCTCTCGTTCACACTAAACTCCGGTGCTACTCGGTGCTTCTTCCGCAACTGCACCACAGTCACACCACTCCCGGCACATGTCCTGATTAATCTGGCTGACCCCTCCTCTAGACCAGTTGTTGTGCACGACTCCACTGTTCTCCCATGTCCAGCAGTCCCCTCAGGCTCCCTCACAGGTCTCCACCTCCCCTCGTTCGCTACAAAATTGGTGAGTACCCTTCACCTCCAGGATTTGTTGGTCACCACCACGATTCCTGATGGCGAGCGCATGGCAATTTGTATGGACACAAAGACTAGAGACCACCTTGTTACGTTCACACGGAGGCCTGCATACACACTGCACACTGGGTCTGCTCAAGTGCCTGTGTCTAGTCTGGTAGCGGCATCTTCCTCATGTCGGTTATGCACCAGTCCTTGCTCTAGCATCACCGACTTGGTAACCCTTCCCTTCCGCACCAGTCCCTGCTCTAGCACCATCGTCTTGGTGGCCCTTCCCTTCCGCACCAGTCCCTGCTCCCGTCTTGGTGACCTTTCCCTTCCGCACCAGTCCCTGCTCCCGTCTTGGTGTCCCTTCCCTTCTACACCTCCGCAACATGCACCCCCATCGCCTTGTTTCTGGCCTCCCGTAGGCCTTGCCTCCACTCCCACCATCGCTTGCACCGCAGTGCACTCCCTGCGTCAAGGGGGGGTAGCGTGCTGCTCCTCATTCCTCCTCGTTTCCTCCGACCACTGCTCCTCTGCAAACATTGCACATGGATATGTGGGGCCCAGCCTCCGTCCATGGGCCGGGTCGGAAGTGCTACTTCCAGCTAGTCTTCGACGACTTCATGCGCAACACCACGACGTTTCTTTTAGAGCATAAGAGTGCCCTTCGTACTGTTATGATATCTTGGATCAACGCTGTTCGTCCCCAGCTGAGAGCACGTTTCTAGTAGGACCTCCTAGTGCTCCGTCTGTACTCTGACCGTGGTGGCAAATTTGCCTCCTGTGTCCTTGAGGACTTCTCGTGAGGAGGGCAATCCTCAGGCGTTCACACTTCTGGCCTCTCTACAACAGAATGGGATCGCTGAACGCCGCATTGGCTCGATCATGGAGGTTGCTTGCACCTCCATGTTCCATGCGGATGCTCCCTATTTTATGTGGCATTTTCTAGTCCGATACGCTGTACATCAGCTTAACCTCTGGCTCCGTGTCTCATTGCCTCCTTCTTTGGATGGGGAAGGTCGGCGATGCGTCTTCGTTTCAGGTCCGAGGTTTGCTTGCCGTTGTCTACGATCCTACCACGGGCAAGCTATCTCAACACAATATTCTTTGCATCTTCCTTGGTCTTCCCACTAACATCGCTGGCTGGCAGTTTTACCACCCAGCCACTCGCCAAGTCCTGTCCTCCGGCGACTTCACCTTTGACAGGTCGAATTGCTATTACCGCCTCTACACCTACCGCAATTCCCCCGTGCCTCCCTCGCCCCTCTTCCTGGTTCTAGGTCCCCCCCATGTAGACCCCCTCCCCCCCCCTCGTCCTGCTCCCTCAGGTGTCACCCCGCTCCCCTTGGTTAGGCCTTTGGAGGTCTCCTCAGACCCGTCTGGCCCGGTTGAGGGGGGTGATTATGCTGCAGGTGTCATAGCGGCCTGTTGCCGCTCACTGCGCTTGGATAGCTCTCTTGTTTTCCGCCTCGGCCGTCTTCACCTACTCTGAAACCTGTCGCTGTGGACCCCAGTGCCGTTGGGGTTGGTGACACTGGAGGTGCTGGCTCGGGGGGTGCTAGTTCTGGGGGTGGTGACTCTAGAGGTGTGGATTTTGGAGGTGCTAGTTCCGGAGGTGCTGACCTTGAGGGTGATGTCTCAAGGGGTGATAAGCTCCCTCGTATTGGTGGAGTCGAGGGTACTGTTGCTGAAGGTTCAGAGGGTGCACTGCAGTCACTACTTCAGCGACACTTTTCTCTAGGAGCAACAGTTGTCGTCGCTGCCACTACCTGGGTCCGTTGTTGGAGGTTCCGGGGGTGCTGTCTCTGGAGCCTCTGGAGCTGGAGGTGCTGGAGGTACTGGAGCAGGAGGTACTAGAGCTGGAGATACTGGATCTTGAGGTGCTGGACGTACTGGAGCTGGAGGTTTGGGAGCTAGAGGTGC